TATTTATATATATATATATATATTTAGTGTTAGAATTCTTCTCCCGCACATATAGCTATCGAGTACCTGCTTAAGGAAGCTTCATAGAGCTACTAATCAGACGCGGATCTATTATCAAGAGCGTGATCGAGACACCTTTTTTTTCTGGAATGGAACTCTTATACTCCGGAAATGGCGGAGCCAACTGAACCTTATGTGTAGGTATCGTGCGATCGAGGATAGATGTAGAAGCAAAAGCTCTCATGTTCTTCAGTTTTTTCTTTAATAGAATTAATCTATCATTATTTATACCAATTATTCTTACAACTATTTATTACCGTATAAAATTGATTCTCTGTCAATTATAAAGCAGGCTCACTTTTAAAAAACTTCATTTTTTTTATGACGAGTTGATAGCGCATTCTTAATTTAGTATATGTATAATTGTACATCAGTTTTCATACAAAAATGTAGACTAAATAATTAACTGTAAAATTTTTTAAAAAATTAAAATTCAATTTTAATTTATCAACTTTAGACAGTCCATTTAAATATTCATTGATGTGTGAAGACTTTTTAATTTTATAGTTAGCTTTGACAAGAGATGGAAAATTTTGCGTCCATAACTTTCGATTAATTGATACGAATTTGTCAAACATTTATTTTAAATATATCCTATCTGAGAAGAGATGAAAGAGGAAATTGCTTAAGTTCATCGGTTAAACTAAGTTTAGCTAATCTTTGATCTACAATCGTGGTTTCTCGGAATTACAACTCGAGACGCAGTAACGTCTAAATATCCGAAATGTCCGCCAAGTAGGGAAGCCAATAGCGTGGCGTGGCCGAACCAAGATTTTAATTACGATCACAACTGATGGCCACCAGACTCGTCGCCGTGGTAATGAAATAATTACTAATGTCATCGTCCAATCGCGGGGTCGTGGCTATTACATAACGACCTTGTTACGACGCTCGGCACGACATTGTATAAATGTATACGTTAAATATACACTCGAAGACGTTAGCACTGACTTCACAGTCAAGTTCGCGCGACGCAGCTTCTTCCGTCATTCCTCATGCAACAGGTGCATCTTAAGATCTCCCTCCGCGAGATCATCACGAGCTGGCCTTGAATAACCATTGAAAGCGTCCGTTATAATGAACGGCGGCGTTTATCTTCGTTTCTATCGAATGCAGTCTATACACATGTTGCTTTGAGAGATTGCCGCTTAGTCAATTCTCCATGAAATTCCATACCGATGAGATGATGATGATCGTGTTTCATACGACTTCGCGCCATCCGTGTCACGTTAGTCATGGTCGTCAATTATTTAACGCGATTTCCTTAGGTTCGTGTGACGCGATTCCGATCAATATAAACCCTCAACTATATCGCAAGGTCGCGAAAAACGTTTTCGCCTTCAACTTGATATGTGTGCTGACACATGTTGACTTCGTTTCATACTTGGCGTGATATTTTATCTCAAATTACTTTGCGCGAGGCAACACGCTTTTCCTCTCTCTTCTCTCTTATTTACGTTTAGATAATAATTTTCTAAATACAATCTCAAGATTACTGTAACTCGAGAGATGAATTATTAGATATTGAAATAGAAAAAATTGCTTTTATCTAAGAAGGGGAGAGAGGGAAAATACGCATATTAATATATTTAAATATTTACGCATATTATTAAAAATGTATTACTGTCGTTATATTCACCATCTCACTTTTATAAAGATGCAGACGATCAAATAAAAATTTTATTTAATAAATAAATAATAATCTTTATTTGTCTTTCACACTGTAAGACTAATTAATTTTTCGTTTGTAAAAATGCAGAAAACCGATAAACTTGCCTCGTGCCGTGACTCAGTGCAGTTAAAATTTCGCGAAGCGTTGTGCAATGCACCGGCATTAGGCAGCCAGTTAGACATACTTGCCAGAAATTATAAATAACGGAATTTCTTCAGCGGCGGATTACGGAGTAGGTCGCGACATGAAGCGTCATCGACGCTTGTGCACTTCGTGAATAATCAGCGCTGTCGAAACGGCTACCTGCAGAATGTCTACGGAAAATTGCAAAAATGTTACTCGGACTAAATTCTACAGAGGAAAGAGACATAGAAAATCTCTCAGATCCCGTAACAATTAAGAGAGAGGGAGAGCCGCACTTTACCAGACTTGATATAGACTTAACTCGCTTAGTTAATTTATTTATCAAAGCCCGTAATTTATGTAGTCGTTTGTGATATGTTGAAGCAACTATCGAGACTATAGTAAAGTTTTTTTTTGTTTTTTTAAATTATTATTATTATTATTATTATATTATTTTATATCCTGTAGGTTTCTAAATTTGTTTCATTTTTGTTTTCATTTTTATCGTTTTTGGAAAAATTCTTTTGTCCGAAAAATAAGTTTAAAACAGTCAAAGCTGTGATAGAATCTTATACAGGGGGTTTCCACTAAATATTTGAATATACAAATTTTCATTTTAATCTTCTAATCTTTTAACAGAAATTAGAGCTCAAAAAATAATATAATAGTATTAATGGCGGTTTTAATAATTATATTTTTCCCTTAATATTATAATCTAAATTTTTTAGACTAGAAGTATAATGGCATTTTTTATCCTGCTATTCCAATCGAATTTCTTGAAATAGAGGGAAGAATACGTGAATATTATTTTAAATAAAACATCTTGTTAGAGCAAGCTACCAATGTAAATGTTGTTATAGACAGATCATAACTCATACTGTTGACTCAAGCATATACTGACACTATCTTCTAAGGTTTATCCAAGTCCTATTTATACGTAATGCATATCCGACTGCTTCGGCCATTAATAAAATCGATGACCCTCCTTTTTTAACCTTTAACTCTGCAAGAAAAACTTGCTTCTCTTTATTCGAACGTGAATCTTGCGTGCACTTAATACTCTCGACGCAGATTTCGGAAATAGAATAATGCGTAGATCGCGTTTTCGCTCTTATTACGAGCAGACTGTAATCAATCTCGTTAACAGGAACACGCTTATGCGTCAAGCATTATCTAGTCTTAAAATCTATTCCTTCCTGCCACGAGTCTGGATCGAATTATCAATTTAAACTAAACGTACTCTTAGTCGGAGAATATAAACAGCCATTAGCTTTTAACACTAATTGATTTGATTGACTTGTCTGATTGCAGTGGGCAAAGGAAGCAGCGGAAGCTGAACGTCTGGAGAAGATGCTGAAAATTGAGAACGAGGAAAATGCAGCCGCGAACGATCTCGCGCTAGTGATTCAAAATCGCAACAAGGCTCGCGCCGGTCAATCGGACAGTTTCTTCGACTCATTGATTGAGAAGTACGCGACGAAGGCTGAGAAATCGACGAGAAAGAAGGCTTCATCCGCAAAAACTACGAAGAAAACTACGAAGAAGGCGTAGAGATAAATTAGCGTCGAAACCTGTGTCTGTCTTCGCTCTATCTTCAAAAAGTCTCAATTTTTTGTAATTTAAATCGCAAAACACGGATTTGCTATAGATTTCTATATAATGGACGGTTGTGTTTAGTTTTTCTAAGTATAAGTCCACCAAGACTTTTGAAAAATGCCAATAAACTAAACAGAAATCTGCTTGATTTAATGTCATTACGTCAATTAACCGCGCGTAAACTGCGACATAAATTAAACCATAGTATTGAGTCAAAACCTCTTTTTTTAAATGTGCACAACGGTGTAGATACGGAATTGTTACTTATACACTTTATATACAAACAAATTGCGTTTGCCATATTGCGTTTTATTAATACCTTTAAAAACTCCTTTATATATAGAAATTCCTGTAATTAATTAGAAATTAGAATCTTATAGAATTTGCGAAACAGAGAAATAGAAAATCTCCTTTTTATATATCTTCCTTTGTAACTTTTTTTAATCTATCTTCTAGTTTTTTAATGATAAGAACAAAAACGAAGAAATACATAAAATAAATAATACTTATTTTATTCTGTTATTAAGCAAAGTCGGAATTCGAGCTAAAGAATTTATTTATTTATTTATTTTATTTCTTCTGTTTCCAGTCATAAATTCCAGGAATGGTATTTTATCGTAGTTTTATTGGACAAAGTAAAATCTTTTTCCAAAATGAAATATGTATAAATTCCGTAACAAGATATTATTTGTAAAATACCGTTCTGCGAAAATTTTTTATTAAATATTGATTGATATTAATAATATAAAAGATAACAAAAATTTGTATAAAAATATTTTTTGTTCTTTTTTTTCTCTCTATATAATTTAATCAAACAATTCCTCTACAATTTCATAAAATATATTTTTTTTTTCATTTTGAAACTGAATTAAAATTAAGCCAGAGATTTTTCGTAACAATCAGAGATTGTTCGTAAACGCTGGCGCAAAATATTATTAAAATTGTTTTGAAAACGCAAAACTTCTATTAATAGAAAGTTAAATCAAAGTTTTCTTAGATATTCTAAGCGATTAATCGTTGCACCACATATTGGCACTCTGCCAATGTTTGCCATCTTAAACGTGTTTATATAGACAACGCATATCCGTTTCTCGGACATTGATGGAATCGATGACCCTTCTTGTAAAATTAATTTCTGCTACACTTGTAAAGCTTGTTTCTCGTTATTCACAGTATATATATTTCGTACGTGCAAATATTTGCTAATCTTGAGCTTTAGTGCATAGAATGTTCCAGAAATAAAAATATGCTATTTTTACTTTTAGGTACAATTATGGAATAATGTGTATTACATACACACATATTTATATATATTTTATATATATAAAAGATAATTTGGCGATATCTCGACATCCTTATTAAAATAATAATTCTGCATTCACTGATTAGTATTTTGAAGTTTCACACAAACACTAAGAAGTAGATACTTTAGTTTTTACATATATATAAAAGAACGGAGAGATCATGCACATAAATACTCTCTCTCTCTCTCTCTCTCTCTCTCTCTCTCTCTCTCTCTCTCTCTCTCTCTGTTTTGTTTGATACTCGTGAAAGTAAACTGTTTTCTTCCTATTGCAGAATACATTCATTTAGAAAATAATTTTAGAAATTTGAATAAGGCTAATTTAATACGATATCTTATTGAAAATATAATGCTTGAAATAAAAAGAAAATATCATTGCTTATGATTAAAAAAAGCTAAATGTAATTTTCTTGCAGTCACTTTTATCGCACAATTTACGTGGATCACTTTTTGCATTCTCTGCAACATTTTGCATTCAGTTTTGTCCATTTGCATCATAATATAAACGCCCTATCATTAGTCAGTGCTTTTGAGGAACTTTATCTTTCATAATGTGTTACTAAATTATAAAAGTCTCGAGATCTCTCTTACCTAAGTATTATCAAAAAAAGTATTGTACAACAATTAGATTATACAAATTTCTGTAACTTATATATATATATATACTGTGTATAAAAAGAGATTGCGCCAAAAGTATTTTCTCGTCCTGTGAGTGGCCTGACTTATCGATATAAGGCAAGATGAAAATTCGATGATCTATAAAATATCATATTCTTATAATCAATGGCGCTGATTCTTTCATTTTTTGAGTACGATATATGCAATGCAATATCAAGTAAACAATAACACAATAGTATAAATAATATTTAATTACATTCTATTGAATTAATTATATATATTTAATTAGATTTTATTAAATATTTCGTATATTATTCAGAAATAAGATATGTTAGATATTTTACGTGACACACGTTCTAATCATAACATATATTATTAATATTTAAAAATAATTACGTAAAATTTTTATACATGGCATATTTTGATATTACATATTTATAATAGTAGTAAAATTAATTAAATATTAAAAATATTTAAGAAATATATATTTTAATCTGCCCAAATTCCTCGATGCTTAGGTGGGATTATCTTAACGTCATCAATAACGAGCATAGGCGGTGTATCGGTCACATTGTTAGTCACACAATTTGTGAAAGGTGAGAGGAGGGCGAAAAACAGCGATGGCAAAGGAATAGAGAGAGGGCAATCTCTCGCCAGGACACCTTCTCTCCTGCTTTCGCGAGTCTCGTGTTTGATGGCTCGAGATGGTGGCACAACTACGATGTTGTGGTACTTTCCAATCGGTGTTGGTAGAGATGGTATGTACACTTGTGAGCATCATGAGAGTGGCCGCCTCGCATGGTCAGTCTCATATTACGTCTGGACTGGCTGGAGCAACAACACAATACACATCGGGTGACACAATTTCCAAAGGCAAAGCGCGTTCCCTCTTTTATAGAGTTTTATAAAGTTTTTCACGGACATCGTTACAACATTTAGGGAATCCTAATTTCCGTTATTTTTATATTATTTTTATATTTTTCATTATTATATTCCAAATATATGTCATACAATCTGTGTAAAAATATGTATTTTTCAAATATTTTTAACATTTTATTAATTTTGCTACTATTATAAACTATTATAAACACAAGATATCGTATTAAATTAGAGTTATTCAAAATTTCCAAATTTATTTTTTAAATGAGTGATCTGCAATAGGAAGAAAACACTTCACATATTTTCATGAGTGTCAAGCAAATTTACAAAGCAAAGTATTTATATGATCGCTCCACTCTTTTATGTAAAATAATGTTTGTGATTTTAAATGCGTGATGTATAAAAATTTAGCGTAATTATTTTTAAATATTAATGATATAATATGTTATCAATCACACAATCAGGAAAGTGATGATTATATCGAAAATGTGAAATACAATTTGTTTATTTTTGAGGCTTCCTTTCAATCATCCTGTGTATTTTAAAAAAAATCTATTGCTGCATCGTCAAATCAAAAACAATTACGTTGCATTTAGTCAAATGTTTGTAAACAATGATTTATTATATTCATTTTTAATATTAAAAAAAGAATCATCTTTTAATGCAGTAATTGTGAGATTTTTTCTCTTGCTATATATTTTATTATAATTTCAATATGTCTCTCGATATAGAGTAAATGTCTGAGAAACACGTGAACTTCTCATTTTGAATGAGACACCCGTTGTGCTGAGATCGGCGCACACTTTGACAGAATCACGTACGTGTAACCGTCTTATTATGGATATGTGGTGCAAACATAGGTATAGCAAAGTGTAAACCATTATTATTTTTAGCCAGACATGTAATAGGAGGCCGGATTGGAGTTTACCAAAGAACAGAGTAATACAATAGCCGCGGCGTAACCGGGATCATATTTTTTTTTTCGCCCCGTTAAACAGCAATTATATCACGACCTGTCGGCGATTGTGGTGGGCATTCCCACAGAGTTATACACAATACTAAAGCGCGCTCGTAATCGAATAAAACGGATGAGTCATATCGAGCGCGAGAGAACAAACGTTTCGCTATATATTACGAAACGATCCGTGATCGGAGAAGCGTCTTGGAAACTTTTAAGCCGTGACGAATATCTCATTGTACGTTTAATTGCATCTCGTTCCGCGTGTATGAAAATAGTGTGGTCTTTAGTTAATTTATGGAACGATAAATCTATACACACATATCCAGATTGAAGGGACAAGCGAGGTTTAAGACGACGTCTGACATTTGACGTAACTCTTTCGACCTCGCGCTTTTGAAGGGAAAGACATGCATGTTTTTACAACGACTCGCGGTTGCCGTTATTTAACGTTAATTAAGAATTGTGGGTATATCGAATATAAAGAAAAGAATTAATGTACCGCGTTTATTATAGGTGTATAACGACGGACTTAACATGCTGTCGGAAAGATTGACTCGTAAATCATCACAGCGCGTGCGCGTTGAATAGGGAATTTCCCCCTTTTTCACACTCGTGTCGCTTGAACCGCAGAAATGGAAAACGCGCAATCAACGCATGATGGCATTTAGGCAGCGGTTAAACCCATAAAACTGTAACCTATTTCCTTTTGCGACCACACTACTATCTATTCCCGGCTAATGTATCGGTAATGCTCATCTCGTTGAATGCACGCGGAGAAAGCAGGGGAAGAAGGTGGCAACGTGCACTTTAACCTAATAGGACATGCTTCTATCTCTTTGATCTTTACAGAATCTTGTTATTAATATACGAATAAAATTAAAGGAGACCATAATGACCTAAACATTGACTAAAAATTGCATTTGCGCTTTGTTAATACAGTTCCACTTCCCCGATCGCCTCTCGCAGCATCTCCATCGCGATTTATATCGAGAGATAGGCGTACATATGGGGGATTCACCCCATTGAATCCGAGGCGGAGGAGAGGAAAGCGAAGAGGAAAATTGACGGCGGGGTTGCATCGGCGTGATAGAGAGCGAGAGAAGACACTGTTACACGAGGGACGGTGGAGCGAGGAGAGATCGGTGGTTATATAGCCGAGACGGTAGTGAAGGCGAAGAGGGAACAGGAGAGGATGGTGGAAGGAACCGCGCTGGTGGAGGAGAAGGGGAGAGCGACATTCCAGAAGGCGGCGGCGGCGGTGGTTCTCGTGGGAAACCAAAGAGAGAGAGAGGAGAGAGATCTCGTCTCGGGGAGGAGAGGAGGTTGTGCGCGGGCCTTAAGGCACCGTTCCCATCTCCGGACGTGTGACAAGATCACGGAGAGGCTTCTGCCGTAGCTGCCGCGCGAAAGTCGCCGAATTTATAAACCCATTCGCAAAAGCGAATGTGAATGTGTGCCAATTTCTCTCGCTCCCAAATCTCTAACCCGATATCCTTTCTTCAATCCACACGATCTGTGAATGGCTCCGAGATCAATTTT